TGGGAATGCAATTTTCTCATTAAGACTCTGTTTTTATGAAACATCTACCAATTTTACAAGTGCAGTAATAAGTGGCTACATAAGTTACAACAGGAATTTTATGATAAAAACCATAAACAAGATATTCAAGATTCTTGCTGTCAGATCCAATAATCGCTTGTTGAAAAGATTGTTTTCAATTTTAAGTATCTGAAAGGAGGCATTGAGCTCATTTACTAATGTTATACATTTATGTTCTTTAAGAAGAGTAACAGTGAGAACCTCACCTCTTTTTGCAAGTGAAACATCACAGAATCTCTCTCTCTCTCTCTCTCTCTCTCTCTCTCTCTCTCTCTCTTCGTGTGCATATCAGAAAAGTGACTTAAATTGTCTGTTACTGATATTATCACTTTTTCAAACTATTTTATTTTTTGTTTCACATTATGATATGCACTCTTACTTGAATTAATAAAATGTGAAGCTGCAAAACTCTGGCCAGTGAACACAAAGTGTCCAGAGGATTAAGCACCTTCTTTTTTGGAAGGGGACAAGGAATGAATCTCTGATTTTTCATTACTTTATTCCTCTGTTACAAAGAAGACTTATACATCACGTATTGATAATATAATAATTATAATTATTACATAATTACATAATTACATAATTATTACATTGATATGTTGATATCTAGCAATTATCTCTGGTTTAACGATGAAATGTACTAATGTTAAATGCTGTTTTGTAAAATGCAAGGGCATATAACTACTAATGATAAATCCGGCAAGATCCGTTAAACCAAAATTCCAAACTTTTAATTTACTATCTTTAAGTAACTGTTACTTTATACACATATATAAAAGTTAGGCTAATGTTTAAAGATACAGACTGAGGAAAATGATGTATATATCTGAATTTGGACAGAACTAACTAAAAATTAGGAATTCACCCTTTTCATAAATAAGATGCTTAAGCCCTCGACCGATCTGGTGATGATGATGGTGAAGGCATATACATATATTATAGAAACAGATTCCCGATTTAATGAATGAAATGAAAACTTCACAGATGTGGCGTATAACAAGTCTAAAGTGTCTTTGCCATGAGTCTAAACAAGCTTAAGACAAACATTAACTTAGGTTTGTTTACGTGACAATCAGTATCTTTTCTTTCAATAGTAACGCTTTCTTTCTTTGGGTTTCTGATGGGATCACCCACCTTTTTAATCTATGATCAACATTAAAGCGTACTATTTATAGTATTTTCATTATTTGTGCTTTATACTCAGAAAATTTTGATTCTTTAGTGTGCTTCTCAGATTTCCTATTTAGAGACCATTTAAACATTTGAAGACAACGATCAGTAATTTTGATCAAAGAGTTTAAGTCTAATGAAAATAAATACCTTATGTCTACTGATAATGCTTTATGGCATGTCTATTGAAAACTAATGCTTTAAATGTCTTTTGAAAAAATAAAGCTCAATGGAATATCTACTGAAACCCATAGTCAAAAAATTATGTAAAATTAATCTACAAGTATTTTGATTAAAAATCTGAGAGATCCTTATTAAGGCTTCATTATTAGTTTTTATGTATTAAGACTGTCAAATCGTTAAATTGGTGCATGGGTAGGGGTTTCCTGAATTAAATCGACATTCCTTATCATGGACGGAAATTCTCAACAAATAATTTACCTCGCATAGAATATTTCACCTTTCATTTGGACAATTGCTTGCGAGTGACATCTCCAAGGACTTGTACACTTTAAGAAATCCACAATAATTTCTTCTCCCCATGAGTTCAAAGATTTTACCGCCATTTGTCTGCAGGATTCCGTATGACAGATGTGTTCATAATTCTAATTCTGATTATCAATACAATATCAATTGAAAACTTCTAGAGATTCCTAAGCAATATCTACATTCCACAAGTATCGTGCTTATAAAGTGTGTGGAAACCTACGGCGTTCAAAACACCATAACACGGAAGGGGGGTCAAAAGGTTAACGTATGCGTTTTATTCTGACGTCACAAACGTTTAACGCCGTACAAGTGCAATGTCATAAGCGAAAATCAAATTTACGCTAACTCAATTTGTTTGCACACACCGTTGCAGTTATGAGACTAACGTTACATCTTTCAAAAATAATGATTCAATGCTTAAAGGCTATTAAATTTAAGCTGAAGAAGTGAAGATTTCTAAAACATGGATCATTTTCTACATTATTAGATATAGGATGAAATTCAAATCAGATCAAATAACTGTTATAAAAAGTCCATAAAGCAAGGTTTACACAGTGTTGTATCCTGAACATATATACCAAAGAATGAAGGCACATAATATAATTTTATGTCAAGTTTTTACTGACAATGGGGGATTCATTTGCCTCTTGAGATAAAATTCCATTCAGATTTAATATGTAACTGCAATATTGGTTACTTAAATATAATTCTTCAAACGTACTAAGGCTAAGAAAGACTATAGATATAAATTGAGAAATATTTTGTGTAAAAATCATTTAGTAGGAATATGCTCATGAAGTTGTTTTGCTCAAATTAATTATGACAGCTTTCTAAAACATAATATATGTTTGTATAAAAATGTTTTTACTTACACGCAAGACATTTTGCTATATAAGGCCAATTTCACAAGTTTACAATCGAAAACCTCATTTGGGAAATTTGAAATCACAAGATTTTACCAAAATCAACAGCTTAAAAACTTATGACTTTTTCAACTTTATACACAACCATTCCCCACGATAAATTAAAATCCAGGCTTTTTGATATCATTGACAGCTGCTTTTTCAATAAAAATAGAACTCGTAAATTTACTTACCTTCTCTTTGGTCAATTGCAAAATTATTTTGTTAAAAACATTCTGATTGTACACACAAGTACTCTGAAGTTGACATTAAAAAAGATGCTTGAGTTTCTGATTGACAATATCTATGTGGTTTTTGGAGACTAGGTCTTCCAACAATCTGTTGGAATTCCCATGGGTACTAATTGCTCCCCGTTATTAGCAGACCTTTTTTGTATTCATGTGAAGCAGAATCTGTCCAAAATCTTATACTTGAAAAGAAGAAAACACTTGCTGTGTCCTTCAACTCGACATTTAGATAAATCCACGACGTATTGTCAATTAACAATGGTTATTTCCATTCTTTTTTCGATAAGATATATCCCGGTGAGCTTGAGATAAAAGATACTACAGATTCTGAAACATTTGCTTCATATTTGGATATTTTACTTGAAAAAGACGTAAATGGTAATCTAACAACCAAGCTTTATGAAAAACGTGATGACTTTAACTTTTCAATCGTCAACTTCCCTTACTTATGCAGCAATATACCTTCATCACCAGCATACGGGGTTTATATCTCTCAGTTGATTCGATACACAAGAGCATGCTCTACGTATGTACATGTACAATTTCTAAAACGAGGTAAATTATTGACAACCAAGTTGATGAAACAAAAATATCAGCAGTCTCGTTTAAAGTCATCATTTCGTAAGTTATATGGTCGATACAATGACCTTGTCAGCAAATACAATTCATCATTGAGTCAAATGATGACTGACGTTTTTCACACGAATTGTTAGGCCATTATTTACACACTGAATTGTCGACGGAATTTTTCCGTTATTTCCTGATCATGACAAGGTGCACAAGGCGGGTATGACCGGTCGGCAGGGGATGCTCATTCCTCCATGGCACCTGATCCCACCTCTGATGTTTTGGAGGCCAGTGTTTGCTCTGCACCTATTTTGTAATGTTTAATGGACTTTTGAGCTAAAATACTTTTCGTTATCTCCATATATTACATTTACTACATTTAGCTCTTTTTATTTTAACTTGGCGTACCATATATGCGTCTTATTAAGATGACAATTTCTTTTAATGCTTCATATTTATTTTTCTGATAAAATTATTTGAAATAGGTTAAAACTAGAGGTACTGTGAGCTAAAAAAACGATACATTTCCCAGCTCCATCATGATTATAATGGCGAGCAAAGTCCATCCTTTGCTATGCCCAAACAGACCATTGAATAAGAGGTGTACAATAGGATATTTTATTAAGTTATATAGGAGAGATCCCCCCCCCCCCCTTATTAAAGACCAAATGTCCGTAATACAAAAGTTACTGAATGAATATTTTTTTATTGTGTGATTGGGGTAATGAAATTAATGTATTAAGATTAATTGATTACAACTTTATAGATTATAATTATTTTCGTAGATAATATGCCTGGTTTTTTTTTTAATTTAATTTCATTCCAGTCCTGTATATGTGAATAATAATCACAAACGCATCTTTCAATGATTTATATTTTTGCGACTTCGCACTCTCGTACAAAATGAACCAATCACTGAGGACTTGAGAAACGTCATGTTTATGTCTGAGTTCAGACCATGGTTGAAGCACCAAACTCCACTGAATATTATAAAACTTTTCCCACAATAATTGTCGATTTCCATCACAACATTGAAATAATCAAAAGGGTTTACTCTTGTCATATAGAACAAGTCAGATAAAATCCGTATTTTTAATGGTCATACTCTCCCAGCCCCCTTTCTTCCCCACCCTTTGGAGAAGGAATCTGCGTCCACCCATGTAAAACTTTCTTTTCAAAGCAAATAATTGATGCATATTTGTAGAGTTAAACTGGGCACTAATTTGTTAGTATTGTTTACAATTGTTTTAAAAACAACAAACTCAGTCGGAATGTAACCATATAACTACTTAGGCGCCTAACAGAAACAAATACTGCAACGACTGTCCAATATGCTTTTCAACAATTTTCTTGCATAGTACAGTTGAAGAGCAATTCGCACTTGTACTGTGAAGTCGTTAATCTTTGATTGGTAAAAATTTCTAAGTCGAAATATCTGTAGATTATTTTAATTTTTTACAATAACTATCTCCATAAACATAAACTCAAGAATTTTTAATATGAAATTGATAAACCTGACGTCTGGAATGCATCTTTTCAAACCCAAGTAATTGGGTACAGCCCACTAATTGTTTTCCCATAGGCGGCAATGTTAACGTTTCTTCACATAGCAATGTCCCTAATTTTCGTTCAGCATTGAGTGACCCCTCAAATCAAAGCACATCAAGTTGTCTTTCCTTGGTTAAAATCTCGAGGTGGCATGTCAGATTCGTTTTCCGGCAAAATGCGTCTGTCTGCGTTAACCTCTGAAAATGAAAGTGAAAGTAGGGGAATTCAAGACTTCTCACTGGTGTTATAATACATACAATAATTCTGCTGATCTTCTTGATAAATTACATCTGCCAAGCTTTTTTGCAAGGGAACATACTCTTTATCAACAAGTATGAGGCTCAGTTTAATACATTATCACAGTTTTTTAAATTCAGGTCTGCAAATTAAGGAACTTGTAACTTTTTCTGCACTACTTTCTTCTCCTACCGATTCTAAAAATAATTAGAGGTATGTACCCAATATGAAAAAGTATTTTCTGGATTTTACAACATTTTACATTAAACGTCATACTACAGTCTACGTAGTGACATTATGCCAAATTTCAGGAAAATTCAATCATTAATAAAGATTTTACAGCATACACAGTTGTATATGCAAAATCCTTTTAAAATGCTTCCATCTAGCCACAACTGCACCCCAATTTGAAGTCATCGGTTAGCCTATTAATGTACTTATATCATTTTTATTCTCTTTCAGAACTTTAAATACATCAAGCAAAATCATAATCAAGCACTCATATGGGTCCATTTCTCTTATTTCAAAATATTAATGCATTTTTGCACAAAATTTTATCATCCCTCACCCTTGAATTCATTGTTTCTCCATGACTGACAAAAAAATTAAGTTTACAAATACCCCGAAAGTAGTAAAACTAGAAAGTACTCATTATTTCCTGTCCATTGATGTATCATTCAGGAAAATTGGTGTAGGAATAAAAAAGTTATAAGCCTTTACATTCCTGTATACATTCATCTGTTTCAAAGCAATTTTTACGCCAATGCAAGTTCACTCATCTATGACGTCATAATGACATCATAATAATGGATTGCTTATTACACATGTAGTGTTACTTTTCCCGTACTTTTAATTAAAGATGAAATTAGAACTAAAATATTCATTATAACTTTAAAATAATAAAAATACTTACATGAGCAGATCAAATAAATAGTCTACAGAAAATGTTTTGTTTCCATGGTAACCATTTTGTAATTTGTAGGAAAATGAATTGCTCATTCTGACTGACAAATATTAAAGAAATTTCAACTCTTATATTTTTTAATCTTAATATTTTATCATACACAACACTATGAATGTAATTGTTTTGAAATTCTTTTCAAAATACATTAGCTGTAAAATATATAGCATACATGTACATACTAGTTTGATGGTCACTTTCATAGCTCAAATATTCATTTAAAATCTACATTTTCTAAGCTTTAATTACACCTCCCCCCCCCCCACACACACACACACACATACACACAAAGAAGCTTTAGAAAATTCAACTTACATATTAAAAGTACTGCGGCCATCATTTTACATGTGAAGACTCGAGATATGTTCAAATGAGTTTGTTTTTACTGACTGATAGTTTTAAACACCATCTGCATGAACCTCGAAGTTGTCCTGTATCACCATGAACCTAAAAAAAATCAATTTAAAAAATGGTACAATAATTTATCAGCACCTAAAGCATTCACAGACAGACAACAAACACACACAATCCTACCACATTACTTTTATGCCCATAATTTGATATCAATTGAAAATTATGAATTTGCACTGATTAGTCTCAGCATTGTTAAATTACATGTAAATTAATAATACAGGTAAAAAGCATGTTTACTGACAATAATTATACATTAGACAAATACATGTAATGCATTTAATAAAAAAAAATGTATTGTGCATGTTCACGCACACACTGCTTTAAAACTTCTACACAACTGTAGCCTGACAGACTTCTTTGAAAGAATGCACATGTATGTCCTCGTTCATGTCATTCTATTTCATGAAAATAAATTTTTCATTTACAATTATTGTAATAAGGCATGGAAACCTTTTTTTTCTTTACATCTTTCATAAAATGACAAATGCATATCACCTACATACTGCAAGACTCTGTACTAGGTAGCACTAAGCAGTTTTGATAACTTACTTGCCACTATACTTTCACTTTGACCTTGAACTTCACTGAATACTGATTCCGACCTCATTTGTGAATTTTTGTGTATTGAAAATAAACAATAGTGGTGGATGTACTTTTAAAATAATTGTTCCTTTTCTAAATATCTATTAATGGCTCTGAATTAATAAATTGTATAAAATCGATACAATTAATTTACATGCTACATGTGTACACAATATGGGCGATATGTGCATAAGCTGTCTGTTCCGGGGGGGGGGGGGGGAGGAAGTAACAAATCGATTTGTTTCAAAATATGTATAAATAAATTAAAATTTGCTTCTTTCATAAATTTAAACAATTGGAAATGATAGTAAACACCGAGTTCAAAACAAAGTAAAGATCTATGAGAATTTTCTCTTACCAATAGGCTCAACATATTGGGTACAGCCCACTAATTGTTTTCCCATAGGCGGCAATGTTAACGTTTCTTCACATAGCAATGTCCCTAATTTTCGTTCAGCATTGAGTGACCCCTCAAATCAAAGCACATCAAGTTGTCTTTCCTTGGTTAAAATCTCGAGGTGGCATGTCAGATTCGTTTTCCGGCAAAATGCGTCTGTCTGCGTTAACCTCTGAAAATGAAAGTGAAAGTAGGGGAATTCAAGACTTCTCACTGGTGTTATAATACATACAATAATTCTGCTGATCTTCTTGATAAATTACATCTGCCAAGCTTTTTTGCAAGGGAACATACTCTTTATCAACAAGTATGAGGCTCAGTTTAATACATTATCACAGTTTTTTAAATTCAGGTCTGCAAATTAAGGAACTTGTAACTTTTTCTGCACTACTTTCTTCTCCTACCGATTCTAAAAATAATTAGAGGTATGTACCCATATGAGGTTTATATATGATGTAATTGAAAAGAAAAAACAGAAGCGTTGAGTTTCTTTGTCTATAATATAAAATTATGTTCCCGAAAGTAACACTGAGAACTTCAACTCTTTTCATTAAAAAGAGAAAGCATCTCTCTCTCTCTCTCTCTCTCTCTCTCTCTCTCTCTCTCGCCTGTATGCGACTGTGTCTGTGTGTTTACGGGTGACCGAAAAGTTTCTTAAAGCAGTTTTTATACAAGTGGCGATATTTTAAAGCAATAAATGATAATCGTCGTTTTCAGCATTACTTGCTTTTAATATTTGAACGTTTATCTGTGTCTGCTTTGTTTGTGATGTAAGTAACCCAAGGTACTTGTTAATTTCAGAATTCTTAAAATTGATTGAAAAATTGAAGTTATTTACTTGTGCTGGTTTCTGTCTGACTGGATAATGAAAACCAGTGAGAAACGCGCTCGTCCTAACAACATAATGAAAGGCTTCATTCAGCAATCCATTATTATTTAGTGTAAGAGAAATTCGTTAAAATTTTGTAGATTATTATATCCCTCTTTTTTAATTCATTCAATGATAAATGATAAGAAAGGTTAAAATGTTTATATCAATAGCTTTTATAAAATATTCTAATACTAAAATTGTGATTGAGCAAGTTGACTCTGTGTGATGATGACCTTGTTAAACCATATCAATAGAGAATAATTCGCAGTATATTCCATTTAATTCACATTGTATCAGTTTAATCTGTGTCTCTTAAAGTTTAATTTGTCTCATAATGACAATTTATACTCTGAGTTCTTTACTTCACCTCAGTTCTTTTCGCGAACTTATATTTCATTGTTAAGATACGAATTTTGATAATTTAAACAAAGAAGAAAGGAAAAAGAGTAGGAAAGAAATGAAATAAATTAAATGTCTCTGTCAAGTCAAATAAATGTTGACAGTATATCTTTTGCAAGGAAATTTACTACACCCTTTTGTTAAGGAGTTTGTTCCTGTATGAGAATCATGAAATCAATGAAATATCACAATGAATAGAAGTCAGATCATATCATAAATGGAATAGATCTAGTGTATATGTTGACAAAAGTGACACACACAGGCTTGTCACGATGTACAAGAGATAAGAAATCTCTTTAAAATAATTTACCATCATATACGGAAGTGCTATGAAAAATAATATATTTAATTCTATATATAGATGTCTGGACAATGATGCTTCCACTTGCAACACTTTACAAACTTTGGAATCGGGATGTGAGACTGATCGTGCAGTGCAATTACTATCTTTTCCCAAGTATATGCAGTAAACTTAAGAACTGTTTTTTTTTTTTTTTTCAATTGAGAATCTGAAATATGTCTGCATGCACGGGTACAATAGTATATAATTTTTTAAAAATATATTGAATTTAATTTGATTTTAAACAAATTAAATTTGGATACACTGCATCAGTTTCATATTATATGAAACATGCTCAAAGAAAAGACTTTATTGAAACACTGATCGATGAATGAGTATCGGTTATAAGGAGATACAAATCAGTCCCCAGCATCCCATTAAACCTGGAGGCTATTGTATTGAGGTTTTTCATAAAGATGCTAAAAATAACTTTTTCAGGAAAGAGAATCATTACGGGAACTAGAATCAGTACAACTTCGAACAGAGGCACGACAGAGGCAGGAGGAACACCAGCGACGGGAAGGAAGGAAGAAAACCGGGACCAGGAACTCAATGTGGGGGAGGAGACCCAGGGTCTGGAGGTAATGAAACTATAATAAGCAGTTCTTCAACTTACCGGCCCCCTTACAATTTTGGGCACATGCTCCCCCCGTGAGGGGGTCCTTATGCAATGTACAAAATATGTCAAACAAAATGAAAAAATCAAGAAATACAAAATAGCCGTTACATGAACAGTAACAAATCTAACTTGAGATATGTGGCAGAAACTGTTCATTGGGTCGTATTTTGGCTGACTTGATACATACGAATTGTTAGGTCTTTGTTTTATACTAAATTTGACTACGGAATGTTCCGTCTACTTGATCAATATGGGGATGTTTTCTCCTCCTAGGCACCTGATTCCACCTCTGGTATTTCAGGGGGTCCGTGTTTATGCTCTGTTTACAGATTTGTATCATTTGTTTATTTTGTTTAAGATTGATCGCTGTTTGTTATCTTCGCCTTTTTTATTCCGAAGAAATCAGTGTCATTTAACACACAGAGACCCATACCACATACAATGTAGGCACTGAGAGTGATAAAACCCCTTATGCTTCAGAGTCTTCACATCGATCATCCACATCTGATCAAAACGAACCCGATTCTCCATATGGTCACTCACCTACCCCCGACCAAGCCCCTTCTTCTTTTTTTAATTTACACACACAGAGAGAGAATGGCTTTTGTTGTGACAAATAGACGGCTACGCCAGGGGGTGGACATGCTAGGAGTCCTGCCCAGGCTTTTGTTAATTTTTACACCTACTTTTCTGTTGACTTTTTTTTCCTCAGTATTTCCATTATTATCATTCCATTATAATTAACACTGACATTCCATTTTGTGCCTCTACTTAACATTTGTAAATTTGCCCTTACAATTAAAGGGAAAAAAGACATAAATTATTTCAGCACTACACAAACAAAAGGCAATTTTATGTTGAAAATTTTGAATTCAAAGAAAAGGAACTAAATTTTAAATGGATGATTTTTCAGTTTTTGTCCATTATTTGTCACATCTAGTCAAAATATGTTTCATATGTTACCATGGTGATATAGCTGCTAGCTTGCATACACATGTATCTGATGCAAAGCAATAAATTTGTAGATTGAAAAATCTTATTGATCTTTTTATAGCATGAATAACAGGCATGTAAAGATCAATTTCCTCATTGTTCATCATCATATTTAATGAATGAAAATTACCAATTGTGTAAAGGCAGATTTGATAGCTTTGTTAGTGTATGAAGATTCAAGGTCAGTAGCAATTGTGATAAGCATTTTCATCTATTTATTTAAAATTTAAAAAGGAGGCAAATTCAGATGTTTATTAACTCTGGTGAAAAAGTGATGTATACTTGTGTTATTCTGAAGGAAACAAGAAGTAATACTGTATTGCCGCCAAAACAAAGTATAAGTACTCTCAGTTCTCTGATCTACTCTTTGACTGATTGAATCTTTGGCTGAGGGCTAGTAGCTGCTGGATTCATACCTTAACATATAAAACCCACGGTACAGGCATGTTTGATGGAAAACTGTAATTCTTGGTTTTGAAAACTCTATAAAACAAATATTATTTTGTTGAAATAACTTATTCGCTTTGTTCAATCATTAATGAAATATTTACAAGAGGTCCCTGGCTGACCTGAGTCACCATTCTCGTCCTGACAAATAAACACTAGTATGTAGATGAATGAAAACTTTTACAGTAGCCATTATCATAACTTATGTGATTATAATTCTGTTTAACGATAGATCGATGTTATGTCAGGTTTACAAATTCTTGCACGCTATTGTTATTTACTTGTGTTTAAAAGCCCTCTATACACTGCTAACTAAAGACTTCTAATTTTATGGTATTTTGCAGATAGAGTAATCTGCCCTTTGATCAAGATAAAATAAATTGAAATGTACTCTTATGACTTGATTTGTTATCAAATCAAGCATTCATAAAATTTAAATAGGCCAATATGAATAGATTGAACTATTCATTTGCAGGTATTTTGCCCACTTAAATTAACAACAGTGATTTCTGGTCACGCCATCTTTAAAAAAAATTGTTTGTTTGCCCTCTCCCGACCTACTGGCTAAAAATGGCCAAATCGAAACTTTTTTTAGACCTTTCAAGATACGATATTTTTTTTCTTAATATTCCTGGATTTCTCATTCCGTCAACAAATATTTAGAAATCTTCTGAAAATAAATTTTTTCCACCTACCTGCCGACTCAATCTTTTGACCCTGATTCGGGAGAGGGCAAACAAACAATATTTTAAAGATCGCTTCATCAGTGCTTCATTTTTCTGTATTGGCTTTTGATAAATTACACATGCTTTTTGTGTGTCCATTGTTTTCATTTTTATCGCCAACACTGAATTCCATTCTGTGTTTCTACTCAACATTTGTGTACTTGCACAGCCCCAAGAAGAGGGTGGGGGGGGGGGTGAATTAAATTATATTCAACATTACTTTAACCAATGAATGCATTCATTATGAACATCTTGATTTTAAAGATAAAATGAACTAAATTTTGAATGGATGACTTTTCGGCTTTTGCCTATTATTTGTCACAGATATGTTTCATGTGTTACCATGGTGATATAGCTGCTAACTTGCATACACATGTCTGATGCAAAGCAATAAATTTGTATATTGACACAATCTTGTTGGTCTATTTTACAGCATACATAGCAAGCATATAAAGATCACATTTATCATTTTACACCTACAAGGAGTGGACATCATATTTAATGAGTGAATCTTAGTTCATTTTAAATGAATGTTGGAAAATGTTACATGCTAAAAGGGGACCAGGACTTGAAAGTTGCAGAAGTGTTATTTTGAGTCCAAAACATCTTGACCATTGCATAAAGTCAGATTTGTTAATGTTGTTAGTCAGGGTGTACATAACGGCTTAAGGTTAGTATCACTTCTAAAGAGATCATCTTATTCAAAAAGTAGGTTAGGTCACA